CCCTAAAGCAAAATCCTACCAATGCTAGTAATTGATTCAGCAATGTGCACCAGTGCAATGGCACAGGTGCCTCCAATTCTTGGGAACATTACATCCACTCTAATTCTCCCCCCAAGGTCACCACAACCATCAGAAAATCCCCATACGTCATGATCCAGAGAGCTGTGTCTAAACAGCCATTATCAATAGCCTGGCAAACTGAAGCACTGCACCTGAAAGGCATCAGCCACCACAAGTAAATCCCTCAGCCAACCACCCTGCCAGAGTGGCTCGGGGAGCAGTGGCAGAGAACAAACTGCAGGGGAAAAAGCAGGGTGTGCTAGATTTGCCTTTGCACTGTTTGTTGCAATGTGTGCTTGCGTACACTTTATTGCAATGGAAAGAGGACAGGACACCCTGTTAACCTGATTAAAGTTTTGAACTTTTATCATGAAGGAGCAAGAGACTCACAGATGACACACGCCATGCCCAAGCTCTTTAACAGGTCAATACAGGGTTATTCACACCAATAAATGACTTGCTCTAGCTAGCACCACAATTCAGTATGAGTTTCTCAATCTAATTCTGATAACAAAACCACTGCCATCAGCTTCCCTAGATGTGAAGACATTTTACCAGAACCATTAAAGACCAGGCATGAAGTCAGCACCAGAGGCAGAAGGTACAAGAAACCATGAAGCGATATTAGAAAAGGTCAGCTATATCATTATATTTTCAAGTCTGTATCTATTCATCAACTCAGAGGGTCCTTACTGGAGGACACAGAATATGCTATGACTATGGACTGTACACTTTCAAGGCTTCTGTTTTTCCAATGAGGAACTTGAATGTCTCCTCTCTTTTCACAGATAAGGAAGGAAAAAGGAACACCCCTCACCATAGAAATAAGAGCAATTACTACCTATACCATGAAATACTTTAGGGACAGCTCAGTAGCCCTGTGAACTACAGAATCTCAGATGCTGTTTGGTGTCTAGGTCAGGCCAGAGATAAGTAAGACATCCAAGTCTCTCTGAGACAGGACCCTCCATCTCTTACACCAATGAGCAACCTCTCAGTACCCAGTATCGGCAGAAGGAACAGGATTATCCCAATGACTAAGGATTTGCACATTGACAGCACCAGGACTGCTTACCTAAGGGTGGATCAGTTAAAAATATAAACAGTGTTCTAAATTATAGGTGGTGCTGTGAGCCCCACCTACACCTTGTATTGTCCAACACTTCCTACTATAAAACCCTGTTTGTTCCTCAGCACTAATAACTTTGCAAACCTGAACTGAAACTGGAATTAGAAACAGGATAAGTGGTCCAGGATAGGCAAGCAAGATACAGGAAATACACACTCCTGAGGCAAGGGGGAAATGTGGAATGGGGAGCTGGACAAAAAACCCCAGACAAGCTTGTCAAGCAGAACAGATATGAAAACCAGTGGTGGTGGGCAGAGGTGGGGAAGGTCACAGGAAAAGGAAGGAGGGATGCATGGAGTAAGGGAATCACAGAAAAAAAGAGACTGGGATGAGAGAACATAGCAAGGAACTTGGGGAAGGGAGAACATCTGGTGCTGGGACACTGCTTGTCAGGGAAGCCTATGGATACTGAGGAGGCAAAAGAGACAGACACGTACAGCCGGAAGGGCGTAGTTCTTTACTCAGAGCCAAGTGCAACAGCAATGGCACAGGGCCCACACAGAGAGCACAGGGGATGAGCTGAAACCCTGAGCACCCCTTGAAGGATCCAGCCCACCAAGGAGAGCGGGGGTGGATAGAGCCCGTGAGCTCCTTACTAATAACAGCGTCATAGCCGGCATGAGAAGTAATTTCAAGTGTTAGAGGCAACTTTATTTCTGACATTTTGTACTTCCCAAGCACTTGACTTTTATATTGATACTTTTTTTCAGTGTAGATTTTTGGGTAAATAAAGAATGCTCTTATATGGTACTTCTGCTTGGCCCTTTACTGAACAGTGAGAACTATCCACAGAGATACTCCAGTGATCTACAGTGTGTGGTCAAACCATGCAAAAGCTCCCTGGCAGCTCCTAGAAAATAGGGAGAACCCATCACTGGCATTGCTCAAACCCACCCACTCACTTCTAGGGAGAAAGCTGCTGACCCCCACAAGTCTGTAATCACCTAGTAGACTTTGTAGTCTGATACCTGATACAATTTCTTGCAAAAAATAAGGAAAATACCACCTCTGTGCAATGAAAAGTTTTAATTTTTTTTTTTTTTAAAAACCAAACATAACCAACAGCCACCAACAAAAATGTAAAACCAGAAAGCAGGCACTCAAAGCTGGGTAAATTTAGTAAGATGTCATGATTCAACTACAATTGAAGGAAATCCATACTTAATTTCTCAAACAACTGCTATCATACAATTCAAGCAGTGTTTTTCCTTCAGGCTGAGAAGATACCAAATATACACAATTTCCCAATTTACTACTTTTTTCCTCTTTTCTTACTTTCAATTAGAGAACATTGTCATTCGACATGCTTAGTACAAGCCTGAACAGAAATGACACGTGAGAAGCTTTTGCCAGGGTTAAGTCCTGACACAGCTGTTGGAAAAACCCAAAATGAACATTTCATCCTGGCCAAATCAGTGTTCTTTTCACTATTTATACTCTTGGATCCAGCAGCTGCAAGTGACACTACAGGTCATGTTGTCCAAAATGGACAGGGAATCTGAAGATTCTCTCAAGTTATGGAGGCTTCTACTTTTGGAGTTCCTACTTCTGTTCTCCCTCTCAGTGCTTCACAGCACCGCTACACCAATACTAATTTGCTGCAAGTTTTAGGTAGAATACCAAACTCTGGTCAGAACAGACTTTCAGCTAAAATTTCCATTCTTCATAAAAAAGTGCCTTTTTCCTGCTTTCATTTTTCAGCACCATAGGATCAACACTGGCTGCTCAGCTGATAATGCCCCTCTTTATTTGAAATTATTTTTCTCCTTTCACCACCCACATTCATCTGGGACTTATTCAGTATTATTCTGCCTGACACTGGTCCAAAACAGCAAATAATTTCTGTAACTGCACAATAAGCTGAGAAGACCCTAACAGAGCTGCTTCATTGTCTAAGAACCCCCTTACATACTGAAAATAAGGCTGAAAAACTAATAAGGAGGCTAGATACAACTGTGCCTTTAACAGCACAACCTCTCTGGTATTTTACATTTGGCATCTGGCATTTTACAAGCAGGGAAACATTTCTGCTGTACTTTGGCCTTCTGTCATCAGAGAGAGGTGGAGATTTATGCCCTTTCTCCTTCTAAATTAGACTACTTCAGTGCCCTATTTTATATTCCTCCTGACAGGTCCCTATTTTGTATAAAACAAAAAGTACTACTGTTGCTGTGTTGCATGGCAAAAGCCCTTTCCAGCTAGAAGAGAAAACTCCTGCCACAAAATTAAACAGCAAGATGTAACTTTGCAGTTAAAACTGCGAGGATGAAATAACTTTGCCCAGCAACATATTAATTTCCAGGAGGATTTGATAAAATTATAATTCACTGTCCAGAAAAAGACTAAAACATTAAACAGATTACACTGAGAAAGTCAAAATAGGTCGTTCAATCGGCGTTATTCCCCCTTCATTCCACACATAATACAAAGCAGTTAAGTAGTTTCTCTTGCAATTAGCATCATCTTTGTCTCCTTGGTGTCTAAAATACACTGGAGAGATGAAGCTGCTCTGACTGCAGTGCAGCCCAGGCCCTGCTTCCCACCATCACCGACTCCTCAATAAATACAAAGGTAAAATCTTGTCTTCAATTATTTCAACAATGATAATTTTCTTTTGTTATTCCAATTTCCTGGGTTATCATCTCAAACAATAGGCCTTTTCCCTCTGATTAAAAAGGAGTACAGGTGCACTCGGGGAAGAACCCCAGCATCCTCCAGCTGCTAATGCACATCCCACTCCACCTTCCAACCAAGAACACTTGTTACCTGGCAGAGCCCTGCAGAATGTGGGCTAGAAACAGCCTCCATGAGGAACAACGGGGCTTTAAGAGATCTTTCCTGGATGTGAGAAGTCTGACATATGCTTCAAATGCATTTTAATTTAGAAGAATGTTGGAAAGATTTTATTTATGTTTCTAATTAGGTAAACAATATGCTTCTTCCACCTGCTTTGAGCTACCCCACTAGGCCCAGTAGACATCAGATGTCTATGAACATCCATCAGGTTGATTTACATCCTACTGCTAGCTCAGAGAATCCTTCCTCCTCCCAGTCCCGTATGCCACTACCTTATGGACTACACGCTTCCCCTCTTCTTTGTATGGAAAATGGCCTCACTATTGATTTTCAAATACCTTCCTAAGCACTATAGCTCCCTTCCCCACAGCTTTACATAGTACAGTTCCTCATAAAAGATTTCTCTCCTACCCCAAGCATGCAAACCTTCTAGCACATTTAATGAGAAGTATTTTTGCCGTGCATGAATCAGGATGCAAGAGCACTGGGGCAAGAAATAAATCTCAACATGCCATGGGAAGTGAAAATCACACTGTCAACATCATGATGAACATAATACGAGGTCGGAGCTTTTGGCTGCTGCACAAACTAGGCTGGAAACCTCTGGCCCAGTTCATGCAGAGCTCTGACTTGACTTCCATTTGCAAATCGAAGGTTTTAGATGTAGCCCACTTATACTAGGCTGAGGCTTCGAATTCAAAAAATGCTTCAGAGTTTTTACAGCTCCTCAGTGGCAGCATCATTATCAGTGCCAATGTTCTTGTCCTACAAAGGCATAGAAGGGTCAGCAGCCTCCCATTGTAGGTCTTGATGCATACTTAAAGAAGCACCATTCACTCTGAAACCTGACATCTCACACAAACGGTTTTGAGTTCCCCCATACAGTGAAACTCTCATGCACAATAGATCATGTTGCACAAAAACAGAGACAGCAGCTCCACATGTCTCAGCTTACAAGCATCTCAGGACACGACTTGAACTGGCGTCACCTTCTTGTACGAATTCCTGAAAAAAAACATTCTCTGAAAATTAGTCAAGGTCCAGAGCAGTTGTGCAGAACAAACAGTAAGTTATAGGCTTTCAGGAAACCACATCACTGCTCTCTGCACAAAACCAGTCAGCAAAAGTGGTGATAATGTGAGAGCCTGTGAAACACTCACAATAAGACATTCTTTCTTGAGCACTGCTCTCACTTGTCAGATGCCAAATTTTATTTACTAAAGCATATCTAGAACTTAATACGTGAAACTGGTAAATCCTCCATGAAGTATTAGCAAATATATTTACACAAGATTGGGGTTCACACAAAGTCGGAAACTTTTGATCTGGATTAAGCCTCACATTTAAAGGTATGTTTACACTGCAAATTTCAAGTAAGAAAGTGGGGTTAACCTTGGTCACAATGTGTCTTTGGAGAGCTGCAATAGGTGTTTGAAGAGATAGCATAAAGAGAAAAAATCCCAGATAAAGCAGGATTTAAATGCACTGCTATGTGAGTACATATCAAGACAATTCAGTGCACATTCTAGACAAAACAAATATGGCCCTGGAGTTTGGCCCATGTCCTAAAATTATATCTTTAGAATAATATATTTATTCTTCTGCATCCTATTTTGGAAAAAGCATATAAACCAACATGATACAGCATGAGAAAACACTAAGTTATAAGGGCAAATGGTCTCGACAGTCAGAGGTGCTGCCTGTCTAGACTAGGAAAGCAGCTTGTATTAGATATTTCTCGGTAATTAATACATTCTTAAACAAAGCTTTGTTTACTTAAGCACAACACTGTTACTAATGCTCCCTGGTCATACTCAGTGCTCACAAGAGCTCAGGCTCAGCTGCAACCAGGATTTTGGCACTGGTGGCTTGAGTCTGTCTAGCACTAATGCAAATGGGTGCTCCTGCCTTGACACGGCCTTCAGCAGGGACGAGACTCAGACCTGCCCTCTTTACTTCATCTACCCATGAAAGTTGCACTGCCATAAACCTAAATCCATGAAAACTCTTCTTCATTCCCACTCCCCACCGAGCAGTCGCAGCAGCCAGGACGCAGAGCAAAGCCCCAGCAGACACATCCTGATGTTGTTGGGTGTTCCTCTATCTATAATCCCACAGCAGTCTGTCCTCATCAGTCTTCCGACTTATCTGCTGTCTCCCACTCCTCTAGGGCTGGGATAAGCAGATGTTACCTCCCAGTTCAAGTCCTGGCAAGCAGCCCAGACCTGCCCTTTTCTGCTCACGTGGCTCAGGAGCCAGCAAACCTGCTGGAAACACTTTCCTAGCACTGAGTCCCACCCACTGATCACAGTCCTGGGAGTGCCATGGCCTCCGCTGCTCCCTAGAGAGAGACAAAGAACTGGAAGGCCAGGGCTGGGGAGTCAGGCTGGCCTGAAGACACTGCAAGGCTGAGGGCTGGCTTATGAGGAGCCCCCAGGCAGACCCTCAGCACAACAGCGAGCATGAAGGCAGCCTGAGAGGTAGGTGTCAAAGGACAAAAATGGCTTCTTTGGCAGCACTCCTCCCTCCTGCCCTCATTCCAGAGCTCTCAACTGGGTTTTGGCGTGGAGACGTCAGCACGGACCCACCCTTCACGTCGGCACGGGCAGTGGGTGAAGGGACGCAGCAGTGGCGTGATGCAGTGACTCACCCCATGGAAATGCACCTGACCACGGGCAGCACGCAGGTGCACAGCAGCCCCAGGCTGCACAGCCTGCGCCCACAGCCTCCTGACCCCCAAAACTGGAGGCACACGCTGCAGAGCCCTAACAACAAGATGTCAGCACCACACGGCATCGTCCTTTCTTCCAGTGGTCCTTCCTCCACCAGTTCCTCCAACAGTGGTTCGTGGGCTGCCTCTACCCTTCTGTACCAGCATGCACCATCCTCACACCTCTCTTTACATGCAGAGAGTGGAAACTTCGCCATTGGGGAAAAATTATAAAGAAAAGAAAAATAATACCCTGCCAAATACACATTTTCATGTGAAACCCAGCATTCTATAATTCAGGTCTAAAGTATGTAGCATGTTGTGATAGAGCAAGCAATCCATTTAATTTGTTAGCACAAATCTGTTATAAGAGCTAATTTTTACAAGGCATTTCTTTACTAGCACAAATACACAGAAGGGCATTTCTCTGTCTGTGAAATCTTAAGAAGGTATTTGAAAAAGTATTTAAATAGCCTTTATTTTTAATAGGTACCAGCATACAGATAAAGAGAATTGCCCCAGTAAGCAAAGTCCAGGTAGGACACACACAGTTATTAACACATATCAGGGCTAATAACTCCCAAAATCCCTCAAATTCCCTGCAAAACAATATCAATCCTTGAGCAAATGTGCAAGGTGGGTGGCCCAAAGAAAGGACTCTGGCTTTGCAGGGCAAGAGGGGCTCCTCCTGGACCTCACAGCCAAGCACACCAGCAGGAGAAACCACTCTGGCACAATGCAGTGCTCTTCCCTAGCCCTACTGGAAGGCAGTTCCCTTGCTCTTTCACACCAGGGATGAGGCAGAGCACTGATGCAATCACTCACTTGTTCCCACTCCTCACACTGCGCTGGCATTGCTTTTCACCAGTCCTGTAGACTAATCAACTCCTCACTGTATCCCCAACCAAAACTGCCAGCTACAAGCCAGCCCTCCACCTCCCATGGAAGTGCAACATGCAAGCCTCCTGCTGGTGTTACAAGTGGGAAGGATGGAGAAGGTGAAGTAGGACATAATGTCCCTGGAGTCTCCCAAGACAGGAATGAGATATGGGGAATTGAGGCACAGGGGTTTTTGGGGTTTTTTTTTTTTTAATATTGGTATTTGGAAATGGAACAAGTCCTCTCTGGTTCTTAATCCCCTCACAGGTTCTAGATCGATGATCTGTGACAAGCCTTACCCAACACACTGCCCAGGAGATAACTTGGGTAATGTAGTTGAAGAATACAGCAAGACTCCTGCTGTTGTTGGAGATTACGCTCCACTCCAGCACAGGCCTGCTCTCAAAGGCTGCAGGAGCCCTAAGGTCCATCATCCTCCTCCATACAGAGCAGAAGATGACCTCCCTGCAAGGCACCATGGTGTGCCCCAGAAACTCCTACATCCCCTCTCCAGCCTGGCATACATGAGCTTTTCCTACTCCTTCACCCCAAAGGGGCTGAAATCACATCACCACAGGACTGCAGATACCCCTGCAGTTCCTAGCAGGCTGAGACGCACGGCTCCTTCTCTGCTGCCTCAAGCAGACGAGCAAGAGCTGTACCCATGACTAGCAGAAAATGCTTGAAAATATGCTAGTTTGCATGGGAAGCTAAGCTGTTGTCAAATAAATGCCAAATACACACGGGTAAGGAGCTGGTGCCTATCAGTGGTACAACTGTATCCCACACACACACAACTAGAACATCAGGAAGGTGGTACAGCCACAGGATACCCCAACCTGACTTCATCTGAAGCAAGTTAGAACAAAACATCTCACTCTGAAGGAAAATCCCCTTCTGTAGACAAGCCACTTTTTAATAATAAGTGCTAAATGGACTATTCAAGCAGGTAATTAATGTTAATTAACATATGTCAGGCCATAAATTGGCTAAATGCACCTCATTTTCCAAGCTTGGTGTGTGGCAATGCTCAGGAAATTGTAACAGAACAGCCTAAGTTTGTAGAAGCACAAAAAGAAGAGCAAATAAAAGGTTAAGCATAATCTTCACTTAACTCATGGTGTGCTGAGCCAGCAGTACAGAAAACTGCGTGACTATGCACATTACTCGAACACTTCATTTTGCTCCTGAACCGCTGTGCTATGCACATATTGTCAGTCCCAAGAAAAGCCACATCAAAAAACCCTGCAGCTCCCTGAGTGCTGCTATCGGCCAGGCCTTTATCGGGATTGTCACTATGTGCAGGACCTGGACGCACCTTCTGTTCCAGGGCCTGGCCAAGCTGTGCCCCTTTCCAGAGCCAATTTGAGAACCGCAGTTTTCCATGGCAAGGGGAACGAATGGATGTTCAGAGCTTGCCCTTCTCCAGGCACAGTACCTCCAAACGAGGAGGGCCCCTTGCCTCCAATGCAAACTAATATTGCCATTTTGTAACGCTGCCCTTGGGCACATTTTCTGTGACAGACAAAGTAGTAAGGCTTTCTTAAAAAGTGGGAGAGAAATAAGAACATGCTGAGACTTTAGTCTAAGTAGCAACTTGCATTAGGAAACACTTTCAGTTTCTCCTTTGGCAATTCGCCACTACACCAAGACTGACTTTAATTGCATTGCAAATAAGAAACAATCCTCACAAAAGATTTTCCATACTTCCACGCAAAATAGCTGGCTGCCAAAATCTAGCAGGGCACCTTTAGGAGGCTGCCACCTAGAGAAATGCTTTGGCTGCTTATCCTCAGTTTTCCCTATCTCCAAGGCAATCCCCTCGGCTCCCTTTGAAACCAGCACACCCACCGTAGTTTTCCGGGGTGGTTTCACAGCTGTTCATCCCGTCCACTCCCGGCGAGCTGGCAGAAACCCACCCAGCCGCTGCAGGAGGGTGCAGGGGGGCTGCCCCAGAGCTGCCCACCTTCCACTCTGGGCTGCTACTTTGTCCACATCAGCACAAAGAGCTTTCACAAAACCACACCGCCAACCCTAATCACTCGCCTTTCTAAATGCACCAGCACGTGCCCAGCCTCCCCTAATCTCCCAGGATTACAGCAAAGTAGTGTAGCACCACCAAAATGACCCGAATACAAAATGGCCTCGAGTGTAAAACACTGCTCATTTCACCAGGACAACACCAAGCAGAGGCAGGATGTCCCAGGGCAGAACTGCCAGGACATTTCTCCTTCCCAGCCTCACAGTCTCAAACAGTGTTTGTCCAAGCCAGTACAATACATCAGATATAGCTGCCACTAAGGTGGATTTAATTTTCACTGGCATTAACTGTGTACTTTCAAACACACAGGTAAGAGTAGAAGCCAACCTCTGACTCTCAAGCTTCCTATTTTAAATATGCTCAAATTTTAAATATGTACAAATATTGACACTAATAAATCTATTATAGGCAATGACAATAGCTGCATGACTGTTTTAGGTAACCTTCTCACTCTGAACCATGGAGGGACATTGATTACACCTTTTATCATACAGGTCTACCTGGCAGTGATAACTATCCAGCAATACCATATCACCATTGATTGGAAGTTTCCCATTCACATCAAAAGTTGAGTTTAGCAGAGCCTGTGATTCTTACCAGCTGAAGACATTCACCAAGGTGATGTGTTTATGTCTGCATTTAACAAGTCCTTCAGCAGAGGTGCTCCTCACTGTCACACTGGGGACCCAACAATGTGAGTGATTCTGAGAGAGCTACTTACTTGGTCTGTCTCTGCTCTAACAGCTGTCACCTGCCTGCATGAGCTGGGGAAAAGTGAGATCTCTAATGTACATTACAGATATGAAATAACAATATGTGCTAATATCTGCACATGGTTTCTACCGGAAAGTTTAAAAAGTCATTTGTTATTGTGCTACTCCAGTATACTCCTCTTTGATGCAAGACATTTGTTATCTAGTGGTTTCAACCACTGGAACCACACATCTCTTTACACTGCTCAGCACAAAAGTCACTTACAAATGTTTCTGAGTATTTTGTTAAAGCACAACATAGTAAGGCTTTGATCAGGTAAGATGCTTAAGCAGCAAGTTTAAGCACACAAGTAATCCCAGTGAAGTCCCAAGGATCCATTCACGTGCTTAAATCCATGCTCTCCTTGGTAGGTCAAAACTTAAAATAATCAGGCTGCAGCTTGTAACTCGAACCCTTCTGCAGAGATGAATAAGGCAACACAAAAATATATTATAAAAAATATAATAGAAGGCTGAAAAAATATTCCTGCTAGCAGTTAATTGGGAAACAGAACTTTTAAAGAAATAGAAAAGAAGTTTATAGGTCAATAGAGGAAAAAAAAGGAACTGACACAGACTCCAGTTCTACGTTGCCACTCCTGATAAAGACATTGTGTGTCAATCCGAGGAAGGAGAAGTAAGAAGAAAGAGAGTAGTGTTACTTCCTCCTCACATCTTTGCAAGAAGATGATAAAAAGAGTCCGACACATCTTGCGTTATCAGCATCTGGCTAACAGATTTAGACATCTGTCTACATCACTGGCAAATTTCTCAAGCCTTTTCAAGTCTCAGTAATTAGAGAAGAGACTCATGCATTTGCTACACTGATGGGACTGCAGCCCTTTGGTACATACTGGCCAATGAGACATGCTAAGAAATGTACTAAGTTTACAAAAACCTCTCCATCAAAGTAAATACCCCAGCAGCTAGTGTTTATCTTCTATGAGGAAGATGAATACAACAGGTGGAAAACAGAATAGGCTTCTGATATGAAAAACAATTCAAAGCAAATCAGCTACATTTAAATTTGGGATTTGCTGGTATCTCTGTATAAAGGACGAGATTCACAGTCTTGCCATATCACTTAACAAAGAGGAAAATAGTCCCCCTAGTGTACTTTCCATGTAGAAAAGACTGTTTCACAAGATAGTGCTGCAAGAAATTACAAAATAACATTGTGGGAAGAGGTATGGAATTACTTAAGCTGTAGCGAAACTGGGCACCTCTACTACATACACGAATCAAAAGGTTTTCCAGTTTCCTATTTCAAGATTATTGAGGGAAGTGAGTGCTTCACCTTAAATACCTGCGAGATAAAACTTGGTTTTTAAGTCAGCACAGTAGTTTTGTGACTGCAGGACTTCGATTGGGTAACAGATACCTGAATGAGGAAAGATCTAGTCATCACGGAGCTCTGTGGAAGTACCTGGAACAGTCGCCTGGCACAGTGAATTTCACAAGGGTGAAACCAGCTCACCCTCGGATCTGTTCCCCCCTCCGGTGATGACGAACATAATACCAACCTTTCCTAAGTATTCAAGACAGAAGCCGATACCGGAACATGCATGGAAAACCCCTCCAGTGGTTTGGAAGTGTATGGGTTTGCACCAACCGGGGCAGCCCATGGCACACAGGAATGTCTGGAGCGTGGCACCTCTGCAGCACTGCACTGTACACTGCTGCCCTAGTCAGCTCCAGGCACTATTAGGTTAGCCAATGTCCCACCAGGGCCAGGGGGTGGGGGAAGCAAAGGAGATTGTTGGGGGGTGTATTGGGCAAACCTTATCCGAATTACCGGAAACGTAATATATGCCTTGCTAACCACATCTGAAATATTCACTTCTGCTTTAATGCCCTAGGCAGGAAAAAAAAAAAAAAAAAGTGATAGTTGTAACTTTAATTTATAGCTCTTAAAATAATTGTTTGAGGAGAATAATCCTGGCTATGTTTACGGATTATGGTGTTCGGCACATCTCACTGGAAACCATATTAATATTTCATATATAATAATACATAAGGTAATAAGACCAAGGTATCTTTTTCCCTTTGTTTAAAATAACAATTTTCTCACTCAGTGGCAGAGCAGAATATTGTTAAATGGGTTTACTGCCCTCAACAATTAATTAAGCTGTGTAAAAATATTCTAAATTATGATGAAAGCCTTCTAACACAGAATTATCTTCTGTTCATTTAAAGTCTCGGTGTAACTAGCAATCTGAAGAAGTCTAATGTGAAAAGCTGACATTAGTTCCTGAAGAGTTGTATTCATTACCTGTGAAGGAAACAAAGATGATAATTAAGATATAATGTGTTTTAACATCAGGAGACTAAGATGGAGTCCCCGTGTAAGAGTGTTGCCTCTGCACAAACTAAACTACTCTTCAGCCAAGAAATTGAAGTAGTCATCTTCTGAATATACACGCACTTGAAAAAGAAACCCTAGCCTTGCTAAGGAATTATATTTTCCAGTTTCAGATGCCTGGCAGACTATTAGCTCCCCTCTGCTCCTTCCAGTATGCCCCTACACCCACACACAACCAATATGTACGCACTTGAAAAAGAAATCCTAGCCTTGCTAAGGAATTGTATTTTCCAGTTTTAGATGCCTGGCAGATTATTGGCTCCTGACCTCCCCTCTGCTCCTTCCAGTATGCCCCTACACCCACACACAACTGCACCCACCGTTAACACGACCGAACGCCTTACCCGAACTTCAGAGAGTGCTCACAATCATTAGAGGCAGAATTTGCTGCTACCAGTGTGCCTGCATCTCCTGAGAAAGGTCATCCTAAAGGCTTGTGAGAAACTTCTGAACTAAATTAAAACAGAAGAATCTCAAGGGATCCAAGTTTTTAACATTTTAATTAGCTCCAAGCACCAGTTAATGCTGCTCAGCAAAGGAATCAATATCAAATTAACAGTATAAATTGTCAGAAAAACTGTGACGGTATTAAGGATACTAATCAATGTAAGTACTTCATATTATGGCCCAGATTCTGCTTCTGCAAAAGTGAAAAGGAGTTTTGCCACCAAATTCAAAACAGTGTCAGCCCCATTGTTAGGTAAATCTTCGTTTGAATCAGATACTGAGAATTTACTGAAAATTCGAAGTACCAGATAAAAATGCTGGATTTGTCATAACAGCTGACATCTAAAGCCACTGCTTCTGTGTGAAACCAAACAACTCACGAAGGCACAGGCTGTCACTGGAATGTAACCCTTTATCACACTCTGCGTCACACTTGTAAAGTCAGACCAAAATTCAACACCTAATACAGACACAAATGTTGTAAAAAGAATGTGTGGTTTTAAAAGCCTTGTCTTCAACTAGCTACGCCAGAGATAAACTTTGTGTTTGTATTTTCCCCAGCCTGAGACAAGTCTGTCAACTAAATGCTTCCTCTCCTGTTTCATTTGGAAGGTAAAAATCATACAGCTGCACTTCAATTCCCAGCAGCAAGTCCTGCTCAGGCACCAAAATACAAGACAGGGCTGCTAGCACAGAAACTGCCAGAAATGTTTCATCTATACAGTATTTCTGACCAATCTGTATACTGAAAGTTATCACCTGGTCCAAACCTAGGTAGATTCAAAGAGAAAATTTAATTTCTCTGTAAAAGCATTGAACTTGCTGGCAAATTCACCTTCAGCCATCCACACAGAAACTCAGTGTCAGATGCCGCTAGTATCGGCCCCCAGCAGCAACTGAACCTTGCCGGGATTTCCTTCTGCAAACAGCGTCGGCGTCAGGCAGCACCTGCATTTCTGTACAGCTGCAAGTACGTGACATTCTGGCGTCCAACAGACGCTGACAGATGAACAGGAAAAAGAGAAGAAAAAAAAAAAAAAAAGCAGTTCTGGAAATCACTTCAAATGTGCTTTCCATGCAGTTCTGGCTCCTGGTAGGCCTTATAAGACTCTTTCTTGAGGGTAAAACCCTGCCTGCCTGCAACGTGCTTTTGCACGCGCTGAGTAAACAAGCCACAAAACCAGATTTTTTTTCCCCCCGACTTATTAAAACGGTAGTACTCTTAGCTGCTCACTGTCGCAGTGCTGGGCAGAAAATGCTGGGCTATCAGTAGACGGTGCTCTCATACACTGGAAACGCAGGAATCACAAACCAAGCATTCCAGGGGCTGAACAGCCAGTAACTCCATGCTTTGATTAACTTTATGAAGAAATGTCAAAACCCTAATTTCCCTCTACTGCCTTTGAGGAACACATGGGCAAAAAACTGGGGGTTTCCTTGACAAAAATAATAAAGTCATTCTGTATTTGAGCTTTGAGACGCAGACTGACCATACATGAAAGCAATTCTGCTCGTTTCCAACATGAGGTACCTCTGGTGTTACCATAACTTTAAAAAAAAAAAAAAAAAAGGCAAAACAAAACCCACACACCTTATAAATATTTTTCTTTTTGCTTTCTCTCCCTCCCTCTCTCTTTCCCTGCTTATGTGCTGGTGCATCACAAAAGCCAACTCCGCTCCAGCGTGTACTCTGCCCCCAGAGTCAATAGCCCTCACCGCCCGTACACAGCAACAGGAAAGACACAAAACTTTCCTTAATCCCTCTCTTTAAAAAAAAGCAAAGCCGACAGGGCGACCACCATCACCAGGACCAGCACCAGCGCCCGGCGGGCAGCTGTCGGGGCGAGCCGCCCGCACCCCGCTCCGCGGCCGCATCCTCCGCGGGCAGCCCGCCCGTCGGGGCGGCGCGGCGGGAGCGCCGCAGCCCCGGGATCCCGCCTCACCTTCCAGCCGGCCGAGCTGTTGCTGTCGCCCTTGTCCTTGAAGTAGGGCACGCAGCGGACCATCCAGTCGTAGATCTGGGAGAGAGTGAGGCGCTTCTCCGGGGAGCTCTCGATGGCGCGGGTGATGAGGTCGGCGTAGGAGAGGTTGCCCCACGCGTTGCGCCGCGACGAGCACTTCCTCGGCGCCGCCGCCGGGCCCCCGCTCAGCCCCCCGCCGCCTGCCGCCGCCGCTCCCCCCGGCGAGAGGCTCGGCCCCTCCGGGCCGCCGCCGGGCAGCGGGGCCAGCAGCCGCGCCGCCTCCTCCGGCACGGCGGTGGTCGCCGCCGCCGCCGCTTCTCCGCCCGCAGGGGCCGCGCTGCCGACGGTCATGGCCGAGCCGCCCCCCTCCTCCTCGTCGTCCTCCTCCTCGGGGATCATGGAGGCGGCGTCGGCGGTCGACTCGCCGGCGGGCTTGGCTGGGCTGGCCTGCAGCTCGGGCCTCTGCAGGGGCCAGGTGCAGGAGCGGGGGCGGCTCTGCGGCTCGAACTCGGGGTCCAGCTCCACGTCCAGGGGCGAGAGCGGGGCGGGGGGCGACGCCTCTGCCATCTTGGCCTCCCCCGCGGGCGGCTGCGGGGCGCTGCGACGGGGCGGGCGGGCGGCCGCCGACCCCGCTCCTCCTCCGCCGCCTCCTCGGTGCCGACGGGAGCCTAGCAGGCGGGGGGCTGCCGGGCGGGCATGCCGCGCTCCGCTAAGGGCTGGCCGGCTCTCCGCTGCGCCCCGAGCTCCGCTCCCCGCGGGCGATGCGCACGCCGGAGCTGGGAGGCGGGGGGAGAAGGGGAGGGAGGGGAAAAAAAAAAAATCAGATTAGGAGCCGGAGCGGCCGCGCAGGGCGGCAGCACGGGCCGGGCGGTGCCGGAGGTGCCCGCGGCGCTGCCCTCCGCGCCGGCGGAGCGGCGGCCGCTCCCGCGGTGCGTGTGTGCGTTTGTTTATGTTTCACTCCATGCGGATGCAGAAGTAGCTCCAGCGGGAACCGCGCTGTATCCAGCCGGGAGACGACCCCCTCACGCCCCCGGCGCCTCCGAGCTCGCTCCTCGCCGCTTCCGCAGATAGCTTGCCTTTTGGGGGGGTGGTCCTTCGCGCCCTCCGTCGGCAGGAGGGCAGGGAGAGCGGTCCTTTGGGTTACGCCGAAGACTTTTTCCTTCTTCAAAACGCCCTAAAGGGAGCCGAAGTCTTAGCATACATCCAACTGCACACTAGCGTAAACCTGTCACTTTGCGGTGCCCCAAAGCCACGCGCAAGCAACCCCCCAAAATCTCACAGCTGACGGACCAGGGGGCAGGAGAAGGCCACCCCGGGGGCTGGTCGGTTAAAAAAAAAAATAGTGATAAATCCTCCTTCTTGCAGGGAAAAAAAGCAAGCACAACGGGAACAAATCAAATCGCCAGTCTTCCAACAGGTCCAGTAGCTTTAAGCCCTCCCTAGGGCTGCCAAAGAGAATAGGTTTTGTTCCAGCATCAACACCACATTCATAACCTCCTTGCTCCTGCTGCTGCCATCTTGACAGTTTTTCCCCCCTTCACTTAAGTCATTTAAAAAGCGCAGGCAGACGAGGCAGGGAAAGCCACACCGGGAGGCGGCGGGGGGGTGCTGGATCGAGAGCCACCTCCACAACCGGCAGCAATCGAGATCCGAATTCACGGGAGGAAGAAGCAGCGCTGCTGCATGGTTCCTGCTGCTCCTGCGCCTTCAGCTCCAGAGAGCCTTCCCTTTAAAGGCGAAGGATGGGAAAACGGCAGAGCGCCCGCTCCCCCTGCGAGCAGCCGGCGAGAGGCAAGCGATCCGCCCGCGCCCAGCCCGTCCGCCGCCGCAGCCCGCCCGAGCAGCCTGTCACCCTGCTCGCCGCCGACTTCCACATCCCTCCTCCTAACAACCACCGGCAGCAACACAAAGTTATAGACACACGCAGGGAGACTCAACCAAACCGCACGGCTCGGCACGGCCCGCCCACGGGCGGGCGGAGGGCGGGCGGTGCCGCGCAGGAGCCGCCCCAACGGGGCGGGAGCGCCGGGATGGGGGGAGCTGGAGCTGGAGCAGGAGCTGGGCGGGCTGGAGGAGCTGCCGGCACCTGGCGAGGGCAGCGCTTCCCTGCG